CAGAAGTTCTTCTCCACACGACCCAGGGGCTGCCTGTCTGGTCCCCGGACCCCGCCTGCTTGGAGAGCACGCCGCCTCAGCTCAAGAGGCTCTTGTAGGTATCCATGTGGCCCTTGACACTTTGCGCAATCTGCTCTTCGGTCTTGCTGCGATTGTAAAAATCCAGGAAGAGCCCATCCGGGCCCAGCAGGTAGATGATCACCGTGTGGTCCACGATGTAGTCGTCGTCTTCGTCTTTGGGCCCGGCACTGTAGTAGACCCGGTAGGCCCGCCCGGCCTCGCGCACCTCCTCCGGGCTGCCGGTCAGCCCCAGGAGGCGCGGGTGGAACTCCCGGACATACTTGGCCACGGCCGCCACGTCGTCCCGCTCGGGGTCCACCGTAACAAAGAGGGGCTGGACCTGGGGGAGCCGCGGTTCCCGGTCCAGCAGCTCCACCGCCCGGCTCATCCTCTCCAGCGTCTCCGGGCAGATGTCGGGGCAGTGGGTGAAGCCGAAGTAGAGCAGGACCCAGCGGCCCTTGAAGTCGGCCTTGGAGCGGGGCCGCCCCGTGTGGTCCACCAAACGGAAGTCCCCCTGCCCGACGGCCACCTTCTTCAGTTCCTCGATGCGCATCAGTTTCTCCCGCTGCGCCTTCTCCCTCCGCAAGTACAGCCACACCGCCACGACACCGCCCCCAAAGAGGAACGTGACGAGCAGCCGGGTCCGCAGCGAGAGGCGTGGGCCGGAGCCGGGGCTCTGCGGGGGCCCTTGGGAGAAAGGCCTCACACCGACTGTGCCCCACCTTAGCGTGGAACAGTACGAGTATCCCCTCCCTCCAGGAAGGACATCCCAGACCGTTGGGCAAACGGAAATCGCAGCATTGCTGAATTCCTTGGCCTTCAGCGCCGGTGCCCGCCACCCTGGGCCGGGTGCAAGTTGACTGCGGCAGGAGGGGGGAGTCGGACCCGTCCCGGCTCGTTCACGGACAGACCGGGGGCTCCCCCGGAAGCCGCCGTGGAGCGCCGCACAGGAAGGGACCCGCCAAGGGCTCCGGCCGGCAAAGGAGCGGAACATCCCTGCAAGAGAACCAGAGAGAGTCACGGATGCATGAGAGGCTCCGGCTGAGGAGCCACGTCCCTCGATCCCACGGCCACGGCAGAACTCACAGGGGCAATTAAAGGATGGCTGGGAAGCTCCTGGGTCACGGGAACAAATGGAGCTGCCTTACGCTGAATCCAGAGCACCAGTCTGTGAAGGTCAGGATTCTCTGCCTGTGGCTCTTTCACATCGACTGCTGCCGGGTCCTTTTTAATTGGAGATGCCAGGGACATGGAGGAGACCAGAGCAAGATTCCAGGTGCACCTTCAAGACTAACAGTTTGGTGTCAGTGGCTAAGTGCGCGGACTCTCATCTGGGAGAACCGGGTTTGATTCCCCACTCCTCCTCCACTTGCACCTGCTGGATGACCTTGGGCAAGCTGTAGTTCTGTCAGAGCTGTTCTTGAAAAAGAGCCGTTTCTGTCAGAGCTCTCTCAGCCCCACCCACTTCACAGGGGGTGTCTGTGGTGGGGAGGGGAAGGGAAAGGCGTTTGTGAGCCGCTCTGAGACTCCCTTGGGTAGTGAAGGGTGGGGTATGAATCCAACCTCTTCTTCTAACAAAATTTGTGCCAGATTGCAGTGTGTAGCCGTGTTGGTCTGAAGCAACACAACAAAGTCTCGGAATCCAGTGGCATCTTTAAGACCAACAAAGTTTTATTCTGGGTATAATCTTTTGTGTGCAGGCACAATTCTTCAGATACAGTGAAACAGGACGTCCTCAACCATTACATCCATACTAGATGGTCTGTATGGCTCCTTCCAGCTCTATGATTCTATGAGATATATACATTTGTTAATATAATTTGTGGCAGGCGATGAGCTTTTGTGAGTCACTGGCTCGCTTCTTTTGGAATGTATTTCTTTGGTCTGGTGACAGAGGAGACGCAACACCGCGCAACCCGTCACCCCACCTTAAAGAAAAGGGTGCTGTTAGTTATCTCCATGCTTGAGAGGTGATGGATGGTCTCAGTTCATTACTCTCAGCATTCCCCAAATAAGAAGGGTACATTTACACCTCAGTCTCCAATGCTGATAGACTTATTTGCTTCACTATGTTTCCCCT